TTTACATCTGAGCATAGCAAACATAATACAGCCTTAACTGATGTCCTGCTCATTAATGATTTGGAAGGTAACTGAAATTAACTATAGCTAGGAAAGTGTTTTTCTTCTAAACCAATTCTTAAACTAGTTTAGATGTGCTTAATTTAAAAAAAATTCCAGTTTGGGCTTGTGTGACATATTCTAATGCACACACAATTAGTTTGTAAGTAAAACAAATTTAATTTACTGAGTAGAAACTATTTAGGGAAATATGTTTGTTATTAATAACTATTGAGACAAGATGTATCCTAACAACTGCTATAGAATATCATCATTGTAATTTCTGAAAAATATTTGTTATATAAATTGAAGTTTCTTGGTGTGAACCCCTGTGCTTGGTGCAGGTGTTAGGAGAACCTAATGGCATGGTGTTTGATACAGGGCATTTCTCAGTCATGTGGCATTTTTTTTGTCACAGTTTTTTATGGACGCCTAAAATATTTTAAAGTTGCTTCTTGATATTTTCTTTGCTGAAACCAAAATTAATTAAAAATGAATGACTTTGAAAAATAACCAGTCAGCCCTTGGAGATTTCTTTTCCCTCTTCCAATATGTTGAGTTAAATTCCTTTAACTTGATTTATTCCATCTCAAAGATTTTGTGAGGTTTCACAAAAATTGCTGAGGCTTTTGCTTTTAGCATTTCTTCATGGATTCAAGAAGATAACTTTTCCTGACAGTGTAAGAGAAGCAATATTATATTCCAAGTGCAAAATGGTTAGAATTTAGGTGGCAATGTCAAAATATAGAGCAAAGATAATTTGTAAAAAAAAGAAAAAAAATTAGACTTCAGGTGAATTGGAATTTCCCTCAAGGATTTCATATCTATGCATACATTAAGCTTGGAATGGTGGTAATTTTAACACTTCATAATGCATTTTTAATAGAAATCATATGTCAATATTTTTGTTAATTGAAACAAAATCTTTGTTGAAATTTTGTGAATATTTTTTTGTATTCCAATGACATTCAGCCACTATAATCAAATCTTAATTTTTGAATGTTCTCAGTGTGCGATTTGACTCTATAAAATGCGGAGTAAAATGTGCCAAAAATTTATCAAAGAGTCTTTTGTATTCTAAGTGAAAGTCAACCAATTGCTAATTGACTAGATAGTAGGAACACTGGAAGTAATTTTCTTCTATCACAGAGAACTGAATTAGACCATAACATATCCCTTTTCTTTTCTCTGGGAGATGATAAAGTCTGAAGTGCTGATCTGGGTGGGCCACAGTAAGATAGCAGAAACTTGCTTGCATGAGAATATTGTACACCTGGCTCCAGCCTTTGGTACACTAGGGCAGAGGTCCCTGATCTATCTGAATCTTGTGTGTGTGTGCGTTTTTATAATAATGATAGTAATATTATTCTTGCCTTGGGTCAATTTTTTGGAGTTCAAAATGAGATAATATAACTGTACTTATGTTTTATAATTGGCAAGTATGACACAAACATAAGGTGAGATTATTATTGTTATTAATTATATGTCTCATTTTTAAGTTTATTATTTAAGCTTGCCTTAACTGGAATACCTCAACTGGTCTTTTTACACCTTGTTTTAAATTCTTCTTTTAGGGGAAGGCAGCCCTGCTTTTAAAAGGCTTCAGAAGTTTCCACTCATAGTTTTCATTAAGGCATTCCTGAATTAAACA